ATTATTATGAACAAGTGCTTTAAATGTGTCCCGGTAATTTAGCCATTTTTTGATAGTCTCCGCTGAATTCTGACAATGAGATCGGTGAAAGTCCCATGGCTGGTTGATGGTTGGGTCGTCCTCTATATCCCAAAGGAGCCTGGCTACTTAAAAATTGACTTGATCTCCTTTGATTTGTACGAGAAGATTCGAGAAAAACCATAGCAGGTGATATGGCCTCGTTATAGTCAGTCTCCAACGCCAAGCGTTCCCGCAAGCTGTTCTTCTCGGGGATCCAAAAATTCGATGCTCTGACCACTGAGGATGTCACCGTAGGCGGCTTCAAGTCTTGTAGTTCGCATTCCTAGTTCCATCATCGTTTATGCGTTCGAGAAGTTGCCCTTGTCATTTCTTGTCGTCACAAAATTTAAAAAATTAAATATATCAATATTTTATTCAATGAGAAATGCATCCCCTACAAATTTTCAATTTTCTCAAAAAACAACTAAGATTCTCAATATTTTTAGTAAATTACATATTATTACCTGAAGACCTAAAGTATAATGTCTTATTTATAATTACCTATATTACTATATTAGTAATATATTTTCTTTCGATAACTATTTAAATTTATAAATGTTTATAATATACAGCTCTATACATGATTAAAATTTACAAAGAGAAATACACACCTGAGGCGGAATTTATACTTAAACCAGGTGATAACCTGCTTAACTGTTCACCGTTAGAACGACTTGATGTAATTATTTCAGCTTTTTTATACTCTCTATGTCTGTTATTAAAACAATCCAGTAGTTTATCTTTTGCCGTCTTTTTTAAAAATGGACCTAGATAAAATTTAAAACTTTAAATCTATACACATTTTTTAAATTACTTTATTTTATGAATAAACCTGCCATAACTTATATCCTCTTCAGACCGAGTGTGCTCAAACTAAGACAATTTTATACTGTATCAAATGCCTGATACCAACTTTTAGAAAACCATACTAGATAACTGATGTCCCATTTTGTACACATTTGATTTTATGGGTTAATTATCGTTATATTATTTTAAAAAGATAATTTATCATTGTTGTAACAGCTGAATAATATTTTTATTATGATTATTCAACTATCTAGTGTATATGTAATTGATTTATAATAATCATGAACCCAATGAAATACCAAAATTCTTCGAAAATTTTTTTCTAAAATTAGAATACTTTTAAAATAAATTTAACATAAAATATTACAATGTAAACATAAACAATGTTATTCTAAATTAAACTACAAATCACAAACAAAAATTAGAAATTGTTATCGATAAGATAATATTTTGTTCTATTTATTAAATATACACTGGAATAATGTACTCAAAGTAGGACATTCGGTAAATAACCATCGCGATTATACATTGACATTCAGCTTGGTCCGTGCGTGTCGTCTATTTTTGCTATTTCTAATCGTAATTATATTTTTTATTTTAAAATAATAACTAAAATTAAAAAATGTCGAAACTTATATCACAAGAAATTATGTCATTAATACATGATGGGAATACGTCCGATTTTAATGAATTGAGTGACGATGAAATTTCTTTTAATGTAAATGAGTTTGAAGTCGATGCTATTAATTGAGATGAACTCGATGTACTTCAAAGAGAGCTAGAAATAGCAGATAATTCAAATGACCAAGACTTAAGCATATTAGCGAATGAAGACTCAACTGACGATAAAAATAATCAGGTACCACACATAAATTCATCTATACAAAATAAATTTACGAATGAGTTTGTATGGAGATCAAATTTAAAATTTTCTAAAAAAAATAAGTTTATTAGAAAATCGACCAATGATTTTATTCAATACCAAAGAACACAATGGACTCCCTTGGATTATTTTAAGCATTTTATTCCCGATCAAATTATGGAAAGCTTTTCATTCCACACTAATTCTCGATATGTTGAACAAAATGGAAACTCATTAAAAACTACACTAATTGAAATAAAAAAATTCTATGGAATTTTGATTTTTATGTCGAGTATGGGTTATCCACAAATTCGAATGTATTGGACAAAAGGAACTAGAGTTCCTTTAGTTTCAAATAATATGGCACGAGATAGATATTTTTTAATCCGCTCTAATTTAAAAATTGTCAATGATTTTTCTATCTCGGATGAAATAAAAAAAAGGATTTTCTCTGGAAAATACGACCAATTTTAGATAGTGTAAGAAACGGTTATCTTCAACTAATTAGGAAAACACATCTTAGTATTGACGAACAAATTATTCCGTTTACGGGTACCACTTGATTAAAACAATTCGTTAAAGGTAAACCTAATCCTGAAGGACTTAAAAATTTCGTATTAGCTGATAAAAATGGCTTAGTTTTAGATTTTTTTATTTATCAAAGTAAAAAAACTACAATTGATCATGACGATTGCAAATTTTCACTAACTTTGGCTGAATCAGTTGTATGGCATTTAAGCGAAATAGTTCCACCCAATATGTGTTTATATTTGGATCGATATTTCACCACTGAAAAATTAGTACAGATACTACTTAAAAAAAAAATATTTTCTACGGGTATAATAATGAAAAATCATTTGCCAAAAAATATAATATTAATGTCAGATAAAGAAATGATGAAATTAAATAGAGGTACTTCAAAACAATATGTGAGAGAAGATAAAAAAATGGTTTGATAATAAGCCAATCCATTTATTATCTTCAGAAAGTGGAAAAGAGCCAAAAGATGCTTGCTGCCGATGGTCAAAAAAAGAATTTAAAAAAATTGATGTTGAAAGACCTAATTATGTTAAAAATTATAATATATTTATGGGAGGTGTCGACTTGTGTGATCGCATGATAGCTCTTTATCGTATGAAATCTCGTACAAATAAATGGACAATTTTCCACTTTGTAGACTTAGCTATTGTAAATTCGTGGATATTATAGGAAAAAGATTGTGAGAGCAAAAATATACCTAAAAAAAAAATAATGCCATTATTAGATTTTCGTATTGAAGTTGCTCGTACTCTCATTGTGGAAGATGGAGAAGACACCGACGTTAGCGATCCCGAAAAAGTTAATTCATAAGGAGAAAATAAAGGCTGGTTTAATAATTTACCACCGATTCAGTCTCGTTGTGTTCCGACTGTTCTTAGCGTAATGTGTGTTCACAATTTTATTTCTCCAGACATTTTTTTTTCATCATATGTGATTTTGGTGATATTTCAAATCCAGATGAATTGTCTACTATTTCTCCAAAGAGAAAAAATCCAAAAGAAAAAGTAAGTAAAACCTTTTTCATATTTTATATTCTTCGTCAATGTATATTACATAAATAATAATAATAGTGTTTGAGTCTGAATGTACTGTCTATATTATGTTTTATTTTTATGTTGTATTAATTCATTTGTTTGTCATTTATGTTATCATTTTCGTGCAATGCGTAGCGGTGCGTTGCGTATCCGAGGCCCTCGTCGGCGGCGGCGATAAGCCTCCGTGTGCGACCGGCCGGTTACGCAATCGCGCTGTTATCATCGCATGAAAGTGTCGTTATTTCCACGTTTTCAAAGGTTTTCGGTAATGTTTTTGTAAAAGTAAAAGTCATGTTCTCAGTGCCACAAAGTTTCATAAGTTCTCGTGTTTTTTGGTTTAGTGTGGTGGCACTGAGACATTTATCTTCATTTTGTGGTGTCCGGCGGCCCTAGCCTTCGTGGAAAATGTCGCTGGCACCGTCTCTCTCTCTGCTCGTGTCCGCCGTAGTGTTAATACCCGTTTGTCGTTTGTTCCTGTTTGCAGCCATTTTGTTATACCACGTTTTTGTCTTGTCAGTTGTGTTGTGAATTAGTCATTGGTAACTATCGCGTATAATATTTGCCCAGCATTAATTTGTTTTGTCCCTCTAGGGTGTTCAATTTGTTACCATTGACTGCATTGTTTAGTGATTAAACGTGGTATATTGTGTTGTATGGTCCGGTTGCAGCAGAGTCGTGTGTTATTTGTTTGTCGTGGTGCAGTTAGCGTTGTGTTGTAGTGTGCGGAATCACTTGTATTTTTTATTGTATTAATTTTATTATTAATTACGAATTCCGGCATTGCAGCACATCATAACTGCACGAGGTAGGTGGTGCACCACCATTTTTTATATTATTTGAAGACCGACGGGTCTATCATATTGATTTATTTATTTATATATTATTTATTATTTGTGTGCGCCGTGTGGGCCTCACATTGTTGATTTATTTATTTTATTGTGTAATTTATATTTTGGTTGTGCCGCTGTAGGGCCACCTTGCATTTATTATTATTATTATTATTATTATACTATATTTTTATTATACAGTCCATTTATTATTACCAATCTTTGTATAATTATTAAGGCGAACAAGCCAGCCCTATAAAATTGTTGGGCACTTGCCGCGTCGACAAATAGTATAATGTATTATGCTTATAAAATGGTTATTATACATCAGTTATATATAGGTTAATATTTTTTTTTACGGTATATTTTGATGAAATCACCGGGCATCAAGTACGAAGATATTGTTACTAATTTGTCAGGGGCTTTGGGTTTAGGGCGTGAGACAATTAGTAAAACTATCGCTGAATACAGACGTACTAATACTAATACGGTTACATCTCCCAACAAAAAGCGTATTAAGGAGTCTCTCTTCGACAAAATTGATGATTTGGATCGCAATGGGTTACGGCAAAAAGTTCATTCATTTTGGTTGCGTCGTGAATTACCTACGATAGACAAAATATTATTTGCTGTGAACGAAGATCCATCGCTTCCAAATTTCAAACGCCTACTTTGTACAGCACCATCAAAAAATTGAATTTCGTGTTTGAAAAAAGAAAAAGGTGCAGTGTGCTAACGAAAGGGATGATTTGATTGTTTGGCGCCACAATTATTTGTACGATATACGTAAGTAACTAACCTAACGGCTTACCACGCCTCTGCATAGACTATAAGCGCCTCAACGATGTGACCAAATCTAACGCATACCCGATGCTCTGTGCAAAGCTTGTTCCGAAAGTGCTGACGGCGGAGCAAAAAGAATTGCGACGGTCGATTTGCGAGGACTTTCTTGAACGAATTCAGAGTGAAGGACGTGACTGGATGAATTCGATTATCACGGCAAATGAAAGCTGGGTATATCAATATGACCCTGAGACTCGCCGACAGAGCAAACAGTGGGTTGATAAGGGAGGAGAGCGTCCCACGAAAGCCCGGATGTCTCGAAGCCAAATTAAGACAATGCTCATCTGTTTCTTCGATAAAACGGGTATTGTGCACCGAGAATTTGTTCCTCAAGGACAAACGGTGACTTCGGTATTTTACATTGAAGTTCTTAAGCGATTGTGTCAAAGAGTGTCTCGTTACTAACCCTCACTAAATTTAAAATATAATTAATTAACGCTAATAAAAAAAATATATTGATAAACGAAGTATTCGTAAATATAGATTATCATATAGTTATCATAATTGTTTCTAGGTTCTGGTTCAGATTTTAATTTAATAGGTATTTCTAATTGTCTTCCATATACTAATTCATATGGTTGGAAATTATGCGAAGTATGTTCTGTTGAATTATAAACGAAAAATGCGTATGGTAATAAATGATCCCAATTCGCTTTATTTTTATCTACATAATGTCTTAAATATTCTGCCAAAGTTCTATGTGATCTCTCTAAACTACCGTTAGATTGTGGGTGAAAAGGACTAGTATTTATTTTATTAATTTTTAATAATTTGCAAACTTCTTTAAATGTATTACTAAGAAACTCTGTTCCTTGATCAGTTAATATTGTTTCTTGTATTCCATGAATACATACAAAATGTACTACGAAAGCCTCAGCTACAGTATTAGCTTGATGATCAGGTATTGGTATTCCAGTGAATATTTAGTTAAATCGTCTTGCATTGTTAAAATATAATTATTACCCGATAAGGTGGTTGTTAACGGTCCTACAATATCTAAGAATATTTTTTCAAAAGGTTTCGAACTTATTGAAGTTATTGCCATAGGTTGTTTAACTTTTCTATTTGTCACTTTATTTTTCTGACATGAAGCACAGTTTTTAATATAATTTTTAACATCTTCTTTCATACCTACCCATTTAAATTGCTTTTTTATTTTTTTAATTGTTTTGTTTCCATTTCCCGACGTAGTCGGCTGATTTTGCATACCTTGATTCACCTTTCTTGTGTCTGCGTTTTTCTTTCTGTAACATTCCTCTAATGTGTGGTTAGTCTTTTTGCAGAAGCCACAGAATTTTGGTTTCGAATCTCGGTTTAATCTGTATGCCGCATCTTTTGTTTGTTTATCTCGCTGACCTGTATCTTCATTACGCTTTGTATGTTTACATTCATTTGTATTATGGTTATTTTTTCTACAATTTCTGCAATATTTTCCAATATTGTTGCTGTAAGGTTTACCTTGTAACAGTCGTTGTGTTTCTTTGTGCGAAAGGAACATTTTTTCTTCTTCTATACTTTCTTTAATCGCTTCTTCCAATATGGGAAGGTTTCTAGACTTTATTATATTCCTAATATTTGACGACAATCCTTCAATGTAGGTTGTTAATGTTATTTCTCTTATATAGCCGTGTATAGCTTTAGAGTCTGAAGTAGATCTCACCTTAGCACTAAAATCGCAAAGTTCGTGCAATAATTTCTCTACTCTTAACGTATAGCTTTGTACGTCTTCTCCTATTTGCATTCTACATGATGTAAGTTCTACCTGTAAATGACCTGCAGTGCGCTTGGTGCAGAAGGCGACTTCTAAGAGCCCTTTTAGCATGTCCCACGATGATATCTCCCTAAATTGTCTAACTGCGTAAGCCTTGCCTGTCATTTTCTACTGAATAGTTCGCAAAAGCAAAGGACGAGTTTTTTCATCAACGCCGTTCATTACAAAATCACAAGCGTCGATAAATGAATATACCTGCTGTGGGTCTTTCTCGTCGAATATAGGTACTAACTCTAACGCAGAATCGAAAGATAATGTGGCTGCCATTGTATTACTCGGTCTTAATATTGAAGTACTGTCTCTAGGATTTATCAAGAAAAATAGCCTATTAAAGCTTTTAGAACGCCTACCGTGTCTTAGTGTTCGGGACTCGGGACCTAGTGTTTCTCCTATCGACTGATGGTGATTCTAAGCTTACCCGTCGGGGAGGGACGTAAACGGTGTCGTGATCGGATAAATCGGAACTACTGGTAGTATCACTAAAACTTAAATCTATTGACATAAATTATATGATAAATTGATTAAACTTACAGTAATCTTTTACTTCTTTGAAGTTCTCCGTCCCGAAACAGCTGGCGCGGGAACCACGTAATACGTGGGTTTATGGTATATTAATTCGTATATTTGTTTGTGTATATTATATGTTTACACAACAATATATTGAATACACACACACTGTATTGTGTATTTTTGATGATGTCGACAGTGTATATAGTGTGAGACACGGTGTTACACTCGTGCTATATTTCACGGTCAGGGACGAAAACGACGACGTTTGATTTAGCGTCTCTTATGATGCACGCTAGTAGATTTTGATTAGTGGGCACGTTGTCCTCACTGAAAGAAATGTTTCTTCTTCTTTTATTATTAAAGCAACTCCGCGTGTTGTGCTGACAGTTACCGGATGTCACGCTCAAGAATTTCGCTGATTCAGTCAAAAATTAAAATTGTCTCTACACCACTCGGCGTATTATGTTATGTACGTGTAAGTGTTGTATATTTTAGGCGTCGAATACGTATAAACGTAATATTTTAATACATATTACATGTAAAACTTCTTCCAGAAATATTGTGTTTGAGACGGAGGTACGTGTTGGGCAGCCGTCCATTCGCAATGTGGTGCGGTGTTGAGGTGGCACACACAAGAGTAAATTATGATAAATAAATATACAGTATATATATGTTATAAATATATATATATATATTTAAATGCCGTAAAGCCAAAACAATTAGTGTGACGTTAGTGTTCGTAAAAAAATGACAAGAACCAAAAGATAGTCAAAGGCCGAAATAAAAAATAACCGAACGGCACCAGACTCTACTTAACTCGCTTACGGTCGTTGGCAGAGAGCGAGCTCGTCCGCGGTGCGGATCCACCGTGTGTTGCCGGCGGCTTCCCTGCTCCACCTCAGCACCTATCAAGGTGGTAGGTGGGAGGTTGTCGTCGGCACTGTCGCGGCCTTTGGCGTGGCTGGACAAGAGAGTGCACGCGATACGTAATGGTCGGAGTACTATTGTACCCACGACCACTACGGACCGTGTCATGTTAATTGTATTTTCTTACTGTTTAATAGCCGGTTTTGGAATTAATTTCTGGACTGATGTAATCTGTCACAGCGTCCCATATACAATAAATCCTCGTACTATTGTTTCGAAGAGCACCGCTGCCACCAGTTTGTTATAGGCCGGATCGGTTAAACTCGATAGAGTCCGTCGAAACTATGTAACGTTTGTAAGTACGCACTTACAATAAAGTAAAGTAATAAAGTAAAGGATTAAAAAATGGTTAAGACTCGTGAAAAAATTACTATTATGAGTTCGTTTATTGACCGTTCATGTACTTGGTTACAATACGACTGGTTATACGGACGGCGAGAGGCTTCCGGTTAATCCAAAAATGCTTACTTGCATTACTCCCCAGATAAAGGACTAATGCCTACGCGTACATGTTATTTATACATTCATAATAATAGTAATAATAATAATATATATACTAAATACTACTATTACCGGAAATTGTGATACCTCACGACGATGAACGAATTATTAGTTCAGGACACCAAAGACACTAACGAAAATTAATTATTTTTTTATTTCACTTATTTGTATTTTTATTTTGTATTTTAGTTTTTATTTTTATGACATATAAAAATTTTGATTTATGGTTTTTTTTTATCCATGTAACCAAAGTACCGAAAGTACCTAAATATTATTTTTGGGGATGGTAGTGAGGCTTCTCCGGAGATACGCAGACATAGATATGCAGATCACTTTGCCAATCCGGCCCTGCACGCCTCACAATCATACTATATAGTAGAACTAGACGAACGTTCAATATTCATGATATAATAAAAGAAAATATGCTCATGAACGAGCGCTTGTCGAACAGCACATGCTCTCGATCGTTGTTTACGTTTTACTTTTAGTGTTAAGCTTTTTGTTTGTGCACCATCGTGACGGTCGTCGAGGATTCGTCAAGACCACCGTCGGCACCCCTCTTTTTTACTCCCATCGGTGACGCGCACCCGGTCGCCCGGGCCGTCGATCGCGGTGGTGTGTGGGGAAAAACTTGTTTTCGGTTCTGGATATTCGTTCGCGTACGACCGACCGATAACTATCGTGCCTGCGCCGCCTTTTCTGTGTGTGTTGTCTTCTTAAGGTCGATTCCTTCTTTTTTGTACGCGAGTGTCGTTTGGTCGTGTGTTTTTGATCCGCCACCGTTGGTCGATCTCGTTTGTGTGTCACCGCGTGTAGTGTCAACGCGTTTTTTTTTTATATACTATCGACCTCGTGGTCACTTTTGCAGCCTTGCGTCCGTACGCCCTGTTTATCGCGTCGGTTGATTGGTGGACAGTGGTATTGTGTCATCACCATGCACCGTGTTTCACGAACTCGCTTTTGTGTGTGTTAGATACCACCTATTCGAGTGAGTTTCCCGTACGTTAACCTGTTTTTCGGTCGCGATCACTTTAGTTACGTTAGCGTCCACGTGGTTTTCACCCGTGGTCCTTTTTACAAGTCGGTTCGTGGTGCGCGTCACGTACGCCAGTAGTACCAACTTCGTTCCCGACACAAGCCATCCATTGCCACGAGTGTTGTCTGTTGCGGTCTGCTGGTTGGTAGCACTACGTATTTACGCTGCCATCTAGGGGTCAGGTGTAACGATTTTCAGTTGGACCCTTATCACCACCACCCGAGATAAGATTGTTTTTATTTACTCATTGTCTGTAAACTTTAATAATAATAAGTGTGGTTTGTGCCCAAGGGCCTATTATTTATTGGTCTATTATTTCTATGGCCCTTTGTTGTCCTTAAACACCATCATCTCCTCCTCTCACCATATTTCTTAATATTCTTCAGAGCGCACGTTCGCGAGTGTCGCGCGGCCGGCTGGCGATCAATATTTTTCAACAGCTCCGCGACGATGCGTACAAACACTCTTAATAACGATGCGTATACCGTATACTCCGAATCATAAGAATATATTGCGTCGTGACGCGTCGGTTGTTCATGAAATAATAAATCGCTCTCCCAAATCAGCATTTGTAGGAATGGGCAGCGGTCGCCGTTATGAGTGGGCGTGTTAACGACGCGTCGCGTGTTTGCGCCACATGAAAGGAAATAAATAAACGGA